TTTAGAATATGTTTGTTAAAGATTTATACCCTGTATTTGCTCTGGGAAGTTGGGGGGGGGGGGGTGGGGGGGGGGTGGGTTTTGGGGGGGGGGGGTTGGGAGGGGGTTGGGTTCGGGTGGGGAGGGGAGGTAAATATTTGTAAAAGCTTTTTTAAAATTTTCAATAAAAAATAAAAAATATGTTATCATTTTCTTACATTGATTTGGAATCACACTACAGAAGGAATAATTATGGCATAATACTTATGTATATTTTTAATCAGAAGTTCTTTTTTAAAATAGGATTGACAAATACCTATATTTGCTGTGTTGCCTTTGTCTCCACTTCTTGTATAAGCGAGATCTTCCAGACGATATACATGAGGACCACTTGGTAGATCTATATAAAATGAGACAGATTATTGCTTCTTCAACTGCAACAGTAAAATTGGATTTTTAGAAAGATTATAATTAAGTGTATTCATACCTCATTTATAAGTTTTAATTTTTCAGGAAATCTTTTCCTTAAATATTCTACAGAAGCAGAGACAAGAAGTATAATTATAATTATAATTATAATTCCTACTCCCATTTTTTCAGATCTTCCAAGGCTGGAAAAACTCTGACTTTCAACCAACAGTCCAGAGCAGCTCACAAAAGAATGAGCTCAAAAGAATACCTAGACACAGGATCTTAAAATTTATTTTCTAGCCACAAGAAGCAAAGCTTCATTATCTCCTTTCACTGAAGTCATTGAGAAGGAAAATATCCAGTGAAAAGTTAACAAAGCTTTGGGCTTCAGTCCAATGATGTGCCAGGAGAGTGACAGAACTTGGATAAAGTGAGATGCATATTCATCCCTTTCTCTGAAACATGTATTTTAGGGTGTATTGCCAGAAGAAATACCACCAGGATACCTTTATGTCTACAGAACTTTCAATGGTTGCCAGAAAGATGTGCTATTGATTGGCAAACCTTTTCTCCACCAACTGTAAACTACTGTGAGTCTGATGATTTGGCAGTGATTGTTACTTTATGTAACAATCAATAAATCAGTAGAGCACTTTTCCCCATCATATCTATTATCTGACTAAGATTGATTCCTTAGCAGATATCTAGTTTACAGTACTGTATTGTACAGGTAAATCCACTTCCTTCTCCAGGGTTCAAAAATTAAAAATTAAGGTGTGGTGGATAGGTGAACTAGTGCAGTCTTGTAATTTACGTCTTAATAGTTTCAAAAAGCTAATTAAGTTTAATTGGAAACTCTTGGAACATTAGTCTAACTCTTGGGAGGGAGAAGTACAGTAAATGTACAATTTTATTTATAATTTAAAGATAAAAAGAAAAATATCAGCATGTGGTTAATTTGATAGAATTTTATTCTTCAATAGTTTTTCAAGCCTCAGTAATATACTAGATGTAATGGCTCCCCTCCTAACTTGAGAAAGTAAACACTCTTGAAACGGATTATTTCAAAAGGAACCTTTAATCAGTCAGGATGGAAACCATTAGAGGCGAAGCAGCATCTGAAAACCTTTAGGC